TTAACGGAGCAATTTTACACATTTAGGCTTCTCAGGTCTTGGTGAAAATGGAGCAGGTCTTGCTGAAAAGCATAAACTCAATCTCTTCCAGACGAGTGACCGTGACGGTCCAGGTCGAGCTTGGGTCGAGTTAGGCTTCTCAGGTCTTGGTGAAAATGGAGCAGGTCTTGCTGAAAAGCATAAACTCAATCTCTTCCCGACGAGTGACCGTGACGGTCCAGGTCGAGCTTGGGTCGAGTTGGGAGCCTGAGAAAGCCAGATCTGTTCCTTGTCTGACGAGAAGCGTGTCAATGTTGTGGTGAGCTGATCGTGCCGGAGTCGTGTACACCGTGTTGCGGTTGTGGTCAGGTTGGATCGTAAGAGAAGCGTATCATCCCCGGGTACATGTCAACTCGATCTACATCCTACCACAAACTCGCTCCAGTCCAGGTCCAACAAGACCTTGATAGACCTACTCGATCTAATCACGACCACAACACGACCATCTCGCTTCCTGATACTGTACAGACCATGTCCAGATCCATCACGACCTCTGCAGAATAGTATAAAATGATCAGAAATAGGCATGTAGTTTCATATCCTTTGGCGATCCAAAGCGACTCATAATTTCTAGCAGGTCGCGTATTATCGCAGTACAAATTTGATGAACTTGTTTCCACCAGTCTCCAGGACCAACAGATCCAAGCACGACCTGGACTACAAGATCTGACGGCTACCTTTGCGATCTAGGAAGACCTTCTCCAGCTTTACGACTCAAATTGTTAGGTCGTGCTTTGGTCTGACGGGGGGGGGGGGCTTTACTGATGGTTTTGTATGGGCTAGGCATACAAAGATATATTATAGGAGATTAGATAAAAAGCTGGAAGTTCTCAATATAATAGTTAAAAACTACATAATGTAAAGGGAATTTGCTGAAAATTCCAGTCAAATTGATCCACTCTGAATCGAGAATTGAGCGATTGAATTTTGGGCCTAGTCTAAAGTTGGTACGATAAAAAAATAGTCTCGATTATCCATTTTTTTGATTTAATCATTAATGAGCGTTGAGCAGCAGATCGGACTATAATCCAATAACTATCGCAGGCTAGCGATGACATCGAAAGTTGATTATACTCTCTATAAGTTAATTAATGTCTAAATAATAATTTAGATATCATTTCGGGCCTAAAGAAAGACCTTCAATTGGCAGATATGGATCTTGCATAATGTATGTTTAAGAGAAAAAATATGCATTTCAACCAACGCTCGCGTTGCTAGAATGGTAATTGTATTTATGTTTTAAAATATTTGAAATTGTAAGCCATTATTACATAAGGGGTGGCCACTTTAGGGGTGGCCACAAAGCAGCTTAAAGTTAACTGGCCCACACAATGACGTTGACATGGAACTTACAGGATCCACTTTCGACGTTCTTGGTTGATTTCTTATAGATATGGTTTTTGTGGTGTAAGAATCAAGTTACTTGACCACAATGGTCCCGTATACATTAAAGACGCAAGTTTTTACATTTTCGGAAACTTTTAGCTTTTCCTGCTAATGGATTTCCATCAGAAAAGATAATACGTCTATGCCTTGAAATTTATCGGTTAACAGATCTGAGTCAAAAAAAAGAAACCGCAAAATCTCTAAATTTGGATAATAGTAAATAGATTTCTGAAATAATAAAAAGATAATAATACAGGACCAGGTGTCTCCGAAAGGCGTAAGCATACCCCAATCCGTGTCAGGTTCCACCACAACTATAAAATGACATAAATAAGCCTGTTTAGTTGCCATGAAACCAATTGATGATGGGAATCACAGAGGTATTATGAAAATAACGAAATTTTAACCTCTTATTTGCACTAATTTAGTTAATAAAGAGACGGGCATGTACCATGCAGTGTGGTATTAATGCGACTCTTATATTTTACTTACTAGTGGATCTTTACGTTCGGTACATTTTGAATGACTAGACGCTTTTATTTACCCGTTATTTATTATTATCTCACTGACGTAATGTTACACTGCTGGTCCGTTAACATATTTATAAAGCTCATTCTGTTTAAATGAAATTCATAAGTCCATATGGGGTGTGGTGGAACATCATAATGTGGGATGTTTACACTTTTTGACAGCATAAAGGGGAATATTTACACTTTTGACACATTTTCAACTTCTCTTAAAGATGGGTTCCCGCGTACAAACTGGGTGATTTAATGGTATATATGGACCAAAAACATATTCAAACTAATTAATTTTTCATAATTATGCTTCAAATCCTTCTCAAACATTGTAATTGCGAAGGAATGCCCTGCTATTAAAATTCAATCAAACCAGGTCAGGTTTACGTCACGTCTTGGGAGTCAGAGGAGAATTCATTGCATACATAAGACGATTATGTATTTAATCGCAAACTATTTATTACAAATATCGAATCCTAATTAAATTCTCGGATTATCCACTACCCGCGTCTTTTTCCGTCATTTTTATCTCAGAAAGTATTGTACGTCTAACTCTTCATAAAGTTTATCAACTTGTACATCAAGCGCTCATTGTTCGCTTGTGACCTTTGACATCACGCGTGCAGAAGTTCCTAATCGTCGGGAAGTTGATTAGGGGAATCCTTACATTTTTGTCCCGTATACGCTCCATGAATGTTTTTCGGCGAATCCAGTATTTTTCTAGTAAGATTGGATATCTCTACTTTCCATATATACCAAAAATTGCCATACTTTTATTGGAAATAACCACCCGATAAATACTTTTCTGGGAACCCATCTTTAAACAACGTTGGTATTTTGGATGGATGTTGCTTATTCAGAATTCTCAAATGAAGTTTTAACTTATTGGAGAATTCGGATTAAAATCAGCCACATAGGCTAGAGGTGGGACGGGTGTATCTTAACGGACAATTTTACACATTTCGATTTCTACCAAACCACTTTCAGCCGTATTTGGTATGTATGTTAGATGGTGGGGTTTATTCAGATTTGTTCAATCTAGGCAGGTGGCATAAGAGTGGGTTTATCCGTTTTCAACTTCTTGCCTTAAACATTTCAACACCATTTAGTAGACATTTAGTAGTTATGAGAGAAATAATCATTCTTAATCTTATTTGTTCAAAATGTGTTTAAATATATTAGCTTGGGTCCATAATGGTGGGGCTGTGCCAATTTAGACGTTTTCGACATGCTTTTCTAAACCATTTAATGAAGTTATTACAAATTCGGCACATATGTTGCTTATAAGGATCATTTATGAGAGACATGTACACATCATTTTCTTATTACCATTTGACACCATTCTGTATGAACTTTGGCTTTTTAAGTATCTATGATATGCATATGTGTGTAAAATAAATTAGCTTGGCCCCGAGAAGGGGAACAGACAATGAAAAAATATCTGTGTAAAAACAATTGGTATGTGCAAAAAATTATATCTAAATTCCACGTCTAGCTGCGAAATTCGATAGATAAATCAAGATTAATCACTGTGGTAGGAAAAGCGTTTCACACATATTTCTAAATAAATTAGCACATTATAAATCCATTAGCACCTTATATTAGCAAAAATAAATAAGACGATATATTAAACGAAAAAGATCAGTGGCAATCCATCCTGAGCACAACCTCAACAGTTAAAAATTACAATCAGTGTCCTAACAACACAATTAGCACTAAACCAGGAAAAGCGTATTTTCCTCGTAAATGTATAAGGATCTGGGGATATTTTGTTAAATTCGCCATTGTTTATACAAAGTGGACTAACTATTTCATCGATTGCAGGAGTCCCCAATTTCGGTTTCAACTGTTTTAAAGAGTTCTTTTATATACTCTTCAAAAAAAGTAGGGGATATTCAGAAACAATACAAAACTCCGGAAATGCACTGCTGTTTTTATTAGAGGTAACCAGTGTATGTTAATAACAGGCCAATTAACTACACATGGACATAAACAGTTCATATGGGCGGCTTATCTGACGATCCAATTTCACTCGCAAAGAGATAAACTGTCAAAAGTGAAAATGGACGTTTTTGATTTTTGTCTTAATAATGAGTAATTGCTCCACCAATCCTCAGGCATTCAGCAATTCGTCGTGGCATGCTCCTAATCAACCGTCTCATCGCGATTTGGGGCCATCTGACCCACTCCTCTTGCAATGCCACGGGCAATTCTTGCAGTGTTGTCGGTTGACGTTGACGTCGACGAACACGTCTCCCGATCAAATTAAATGTAACACGATAAAGCAAAGATAGTCTAAACAGTAAATCTTATGCAAGAACCGATCGGAAACCAAACATGGATATGATAAACCAGCAAGCGGCAGTTTTCATCAACCCATCCTTGAAGTGTCAAATTTAACAATGAACCCCTCCCACGTGTATGGCGCTATTGCGTGTCGCACATGCAGCTCAGTGGTTCTGTTGGGGCGATAAGTTCTTCATCTGTGAACATACTCTCAAAGCATTCAAGTATCCATGACTATTTGTAATATCACAACCTGTATACTTTTTGTGAAGAGTATACACCGTCTAACTAAATAAACCAAACAAAAATAGAATTGGACTTTATATGTCGATGTCTTTTAGGGAACAGTTTTGAAGAGAATATGCAAAGCAGGCCGCCATTAAATTCTTTTCCCCAAATTTTCGCTGGCCTGAACGCTTTTCACTATAGACAGAGCAACAAATGGTCATGTTTGCTCTAGTTTTTGTATGAGGTGGCCTACTGCAATTTTGAGATACACAAACATGAATATTTACCAAAATCGGGCAGAAAATGTTGATTCAACCCTCTTCTTCCATTCTAGGCCAAATGGCCATGTAAAGGAAGGGTGGGGGATTGCTATAAATAGACGAACTACAATTTGTAAAATTTATTTGTGGACTACCTCCTTTTATTTGTAGTACTAAAATAATAAGTGTTATCTCCCTTTGCTTGGATCTGAAAACAGAACACCATTAATTCCATGGTGTGGTTCTTTCTATATATATTCTTTCTCTCCTTTCTTCTCACCTCTTTGCATGGCTAGTGTTGTTGAACTTTGTAAGGATTTTAGAATGTATATTAACTATGTCAGGAATATTCATGCTTTATGGACGGAAGGATAACAGTGTTAGAGGTTTAGTTGTGTTGAAATGTATGACTGATAGTTACGGTTTTACTAGTATGCTACATCGGGTTTGTGTATTTCAAGATTTGCATAGTGAACCTCATTCGTGCTGTTGAGCAAGGCGTTGCCACATGTTGGACGATCTGTGGTAAAAATCGTTCAACCCAACGAAAATCCAGCAAAAGGTAGTGCCTGTTAAAATGGCGAGAATTAAAAAAATGTCGACCAGGAAATCATTTTTCTTCAAATATAACTTTTCCTCCGTTTTCTTTTGGGTATCTTTTATACTTATGTTATTAATCTATTGAAGTTAGTGAACTTTAATAAAACACAGTGCTAACTGACGCTTAGTAATTACCGGTATTATTTTACCTTTGGAAGGCGCCTGGTTATAAATCTGATAGTTGTTACTAATATTACTTTTTCAGCTTTACATTTCTACTGATGAACTGCTCCTTTTCAATCATTGACAAGCAAGACCGCCTATTCCTTTAATTAGCCTTACAGAATGAATGAAAGAATGAAATTATCGGAGATAAAAGATTTCTTAAGCAACAAATTATTGATTGTAACAGAACAGAATCAACTTTTTCTTGGCATCGAATCACTTTGAAAGTTTCCTGGTACGTTTGTATTTTAAGCGTATTTTTTTATTTTTTTTACTTTCTTTTGTATGCCTGCGTCACCTGGGGCTAAACCTGACACTGTTCTTGATATTGTATCCATCAATTGCGAGCTTCGATAAGAGGGAAGATGGCGTGATGTACAATTTAATCTAACAAATTAGTGTTAATGCGTAATCAGATTCGCTGAGGTGTACAATCCATAGGGTAGTGCCTAACTTAGAGTTCAGATCACCATGTTTATCACATTTCCTCTTTGTAAAAAAACGCGTGGAATAATAAAATATTCCTTTTGAAAAGGTTCAACTACAGCTTTCTTCACGTTTTCGAAACATTTAATGAAAATAATTTAATCTGATGCATTTAGCGTTTAATTATTCGATACGATGTATTTCTTTGTAAATAAAACAAATGAACTAAATTGTAGCGTTGTTTCCTGTAATTATATCGAGATAAAATCAACAAATAAAACAAAGACGAGGTATATTCACGAATTCTTGTAATGTCATGGCCACTCCTATCTGATCTGTGGGGTTGTATTTATATCGAGATAAAATCCACAACTCATAAAACCATGGAAGCATTACTTCATAGTCATTCGAAAATTGTGTTGGATGCGCCGAGACTGCCATTCAAATTGTGGGGGAAACATCCTTATTCTAACGCACGGCGAAATCACTTTATGCTCTTAGTTACAATTAGGGTAACTAGAATACACCGCTATAATAAAGTACATGACATTGCTACTAAAAGCAACTGATGGTGCGTGTTTTGACATAAAATGTGAATTGAGCAATATACCGTCTCTACTGATTAGTGTTTGTCAAATACCAGCAAAGCATTTTAGCTCCAATCATTTAAGGCAAGTGCTTGGGAATCTAATGGTATCTCATGTTGAATTTATGATATTAGATAATAAACAATACTATTCTATTTTAAGGTTTGGTATTTGAAGAAAGAGACCTAGGACAAGAGCTGAATAAAGTGCAAATGTCGTTAATGGACCGATCAGAGAGACTCTTGTTACTTTGCTTAATTTAGGTCAAATGAGTGGGGGAGGACAGATATACCCTGAAGGAGCTAAATCGCGGTTCTTTGGCAACTAGGAATGGGCACTTATTTAAATGGTTCGCAACGCTTATTATAATGTAATATGAATGTATATAAACTAAATTACATTCAATTGTTTCTGCTTTGCTGTGATTTCTAATCAATTATGTTCGGCGATATACGCGAAAGGTCCAAATTGAATGGCAGTCTCTGGCGTCTGGTTATTCCAGTCTACGCCGTTAGTATTCTCCCATGACGCCATTGGTATTTTCCTGTGGGATATGTTTAGCCTCGTTCTTCGAGCGCCCCTTCATTACAAATGGCGACGAAAGCATTTTGGTCCTCGATTCGTGTGACAAGTTAACATTTTCATTTTGTCTTAAATATTGGATATCAAGAGCACCATATTTTCAAGGTGATATAACAACAACAATGTTGAATTTAAATTGACCAATATGTCGAAGACTGTGGATGATACTGAGTTAGCGACTTGCCTCCTTTAATTATCCCCCTTACAAAATGAATGTGGGCGAAGCAAAGGCATGGGCTCTCGCTAAGAAGTTAAATCCCGAACCGGACATGGTGAAGAAACTGGTACACTTCTGTTATATTGATTAAAACAAATACTAAAATTGAATATTTAAAAGTTAAGACCGAATAATGCACTTGTTTAAATTTTACAAAACTACTCAATAAAAAAAACAGTAGTTGTTCTCTAGCTCAATGGCTATTTTTGTAATAGATGAACTAAATAAACTACCGTGGGAGCTCTAGCTAATCTTTACTGTTTGCGATCTGTTTATTGTGTTTGCGACCTATGTTTGGCTAAGAATACAATTCGGCACGTTCTGCGATTCCTGGAAACGTATCTCGGGTATGTTTATTGAGTCTTGACCATTTTGCTTCCAATTTAGTTCCAGTAATTGGCAGCAGTGATTCACGTACGACAATCAGGGCGAGAATCACCGTACAAATTTATTTGTCCCTTGCAGTGTGTGATGTATCGATTGAGGAACCTAAGCTAATATAGTTTTAGTACTTTTCGATAAATGATCTATTCATTTCTTTAGTAATTATCGTAAAAGTTTGTTATTTACGCTGATTTTCACTATCACCAGTATCTAAATAGCTCTCTATAGTTAATCTATGCGTATTTGATAATAACAGAGGAAAAAAGGCAATGAGTGGTCTCCTATTGACATAGATTTGTATTTCTGAACTGTTAACGGCAATTTACAAATCAGTATTCTCAATGAAAGACTCTTGCGTTCATCCGAAACATCTGATTTTCAATTTGTCGCTCGCTAACTATAGGCAACCCTGTATATCCAAAGGCAAACACTCGACACATACTATATATAGGTCACTACTGGACTACCATATAGTTCAAATTTAGTCCAACAATCCGCTTTTGCGTAAAGGTCTTTAGCAGTGGGGGTAAACCGGAAGACCCGGCGAAAACCCACGAGATTGAACAGGCAACCCCTCTCTCTAACAGTACAAGCGGGGATCGAAACCATGCCACATAAGTCAATGACAGAACTTATGATCTACCGTGCATGGGTTATGTCCCCACCCCCACTCCTCTCCACCCCCACCCAACAAAACAAAGGAGTATACCACTGCTCAAAAAATGATATACAAAAATACGTGATGTGTATTCTTTTACTATAGGCATGCACAATCTGTACCACGTTAAGTGACATTCAATTTCATATTACGTACGCTGACTTTAAACCTTCGCCATCGTGTTAGCGCTTTAAGATTTAACAAACCAACAGTGAGGCTGATAGATTCCCTCAAAATGAAATTCGATTTTGAAATGATTTATATATTTGCATAAACTCTTTGGGAATACTAAAGCGCATTTAAACATAAAGAAATGTGAGAGCTTCAGGCGCCAAATTCCTACACTTAAAAACTTATATATATATAGTCATTTGTTTAATAACGTATTTCACCGGTAGATATAGACGTGCGTGTTTACATGAACCTAATAGGCATACCCCACCTTTTAAAGATACCAATTTTCGATTTTATAAAAACTGAAAACAAGAACTGCAATTTTTCTTTCTTTGTGTGTTTTGGTTGGTTTTTTTTCGGACTTGTTCCTGATTATGTCCACGTGGCTACTGTAGTCGTTAAACAAATATTCCAATTTTGTACGTGGAGGTTAGCACCCGTGCTTTCGTTTACATGGACATTATGTGCAAATTTGTTATTTTATTTTTTCATATAACACCTTAAACTATATTTTTAAACTATGGCTATCGAAAAGCTTCATGTAAAAGTACGTTAATGTAGCTTGCTAAGAGGATAAGAAAGCAGACAGAGTCTACTGTTTTAAGTGATTAAGAACCCCAGTGGGTCTGGTAATCCCGGACACTTATGCCCGATGGCGATGGTGATATTGCGACATAGTACTAAGTAAAGACAAGTAACTAAACGTATTTATGTCTAAATTAAATAATGGCCTCCACTTTCCACAGCGTTTTTATCTAGTTCCTGTAATTCTACTCCCCTAGAATAATTGTTTTTAACTAGAATTGTTTCCCCAAGACAAATCAAAACCGTATCGCTTTCGTCTATAAAGAGTTCTTTATAAGATAATTTGTACCATATGCATACGTATCTGAAACAAAGATATATATATCTACAGTAAAAAATTTATAACAAGCAAAGATTGAAGTGACCGCCTAAAATTATTTTAAGATTTATCGATTTATATCTTCGTCCCAGTCAGTGATTTAATCTTGTTATGGGACCCACCCGAATTCCACTGGAATTACATCTTAATCTGCCTAATATAATGTAATTGCATATGGTGAAAAAAAAAAAATCTTACTTAAGTTGATAAAATATGATCTATAATTTAATGACCTCCCTAGTAGGGGGAGAGATGGGGAAAGAAATGGGGTTTAACCTCAACTCGATACAAACTAGGCCATTTTGCGACTAACATATGATTCAATTTTATTTCAATAATTCGTTGCGCGTAGGAATCTTTGGTGGTGGGAGGAAACCGGAGGACCCAGAGAAAGGCCACGGGGTTGGACAGGCAATCGTACTCCTTGTCACGTACAAGCAGGGAATCGGAACCACATCACTTGACTCAATGTCAGACCTTACGATCTGACCATTCGGCCACCCAACTCCCCTTTCATATTAGGGGCGTGCCGTTAGAAATCACATTTCTGGTTATTGCGCAATTCATCCAACGATATAAAAGTAGATGTAGATTGATTTTTCACATATCAATTCTGAAATCGCCATAACAGCAATAGATGTCCTTTGTTCGATTTTGCCTTTCTTATTGATTACAACTGATAACAATGTTACAGTTATGGTTCATCTGATAGCAAGTCCACGACAGATTCGCTTAAGTTCAGTGATTGTGTGGTAAGCACTGAGGATATCCAGTCCTAAAGAATGAATAAACAAAGACCATTGGAAAACGCCTTTATTTTGTTAATTCGGGTCTTGAGATATTTTACAATAAGGTTGTAATACAGTTACTACATGTACTATTATAGAGTACAGGACTATAAGTGACAGGTGTGATGTACAGGTATAACTATTTAAACTACTAGATATATAGGGAGAATCACCCATCAAATATATCAACATAAGTCGATGTTTGTTTCGAGGGCTGTTAATATACTTGATTTGATTTGACATTTCATTTATCATCGAATATTATTCTTAAACAAAACGATGTTGGATATCAATCATAGTATTTTTTCAAAAGTAAGTTGAAGCGATATCTCTCAGGAGATACGGCAGTGGATATCGCTAACTGCCAAAGAGCGATATTACCTATGCAATTATTGGCTGATAAACTAGGAAACCTATGGCAAGATCCAGAAAATATTTTAATATACGAGAAAACGAACAATAAGTGCTGGTTGTTGTTGGTCTCTATGCTATACTTTCACTGGCACTTGGATCTCAACAATCCGTGCCATGATTGATCCAAACGAAACCACGGTCGATGGTATGAAAACATTCCCTAATTCTGAACAATTGACTTTGGTGAATTTCTGACTGATTATTATTAGTTATAAACATTTACACACATATATAAACATGCAAATTAAAACAACGAAATCACACGCAATAATTATTATTATAAAGTCAGATTATATATAAAAATCCTCTCTAAGTTTTCAATTATGAAATGCAGTTGTGAATTTTTTTTTTTCGATTATCCATTCCATGGGTTTATATATATAAAGCATCATAATATAGCTCCAGGTTTACGCGAATAAAGAGTAGTATTGACAACAATTAATTAGTTACAATTGCTGACGAATTCTGATTTTTGAAGATGATCTAAATAAAAAAAAGGTGTCACTTTTATTGATCTGTTTATGTCGGTGTCCATAGTATCTTTTCTTCATATTAAAATTATTTTAAGCTGCTTACATAAAAGGGAATGTGTCCTGGGACAAATTGCTTGAAAAGCCTCATCTAAGTAAAAGGTGATTACAGGGGATTTTTCATTTTGCTTTGTGCGTTTTAAGCTTTTTTATCCTTTCTTACAATTCCATTATAGGAAAATATCTGAATAGGATTAAGAAGAAAAAACAATACTGTGGCTTATTATTAAATAGTATATAAATCTATATAAACTATAATCAACAACTTAAGATGATTATGTCTGAACTAGTGGCGATTTAATAAAATGCAATGACAAAGCATTAGGCTTAAATTCTAAAATGGTAGACTTGATTATTCTGAAATATTTAGGGTTGGGTAGGTGGCGCTAAAGTTGAAAACTTACATAATTTGAATACTTATTGTACAGGGTTGTCACGCTATGGCATTAAAGTCCTGCTGTGCCATTTTAGGGCTACTGGAACCACTTGAACACTGCAAAATAAATCTCTAATAGGAATATCAGTCCGTGGCTCAATTCCGTTCAGTATTTACAAAGATATGTTGAATTTAAATTCTATCGAGCTATGCTGCTTCGCCGTGTAATAAGCCCGCCGCCATTTTATTGTCCGCGAAAATTTATTGGTAGGCCCTTTTAAAATCCGATTGAATCTAAGACGGTGCATTATCTAACGTTGGTGTTTTGATTATATTTTCTTAATTAAATATTAAATAATCAATCGGAGTACATATTTGAGTGGATATTTAGTCATGAGAAATTTCAAATTTTAGCGAAAATTTCATATTGCACATCGTTACATTAAGATGATTTAACCTGGTTCTGACTAAAACGGTTGTTCTGTGCACTAACCCTTCGTCTATAGCCTTGGTTGAACACCTGAATTTATGACCAGAATACAATAATAAACCTTGTACATGTATATTTTTTAAAGTGTTAAAATTTATTAGAACCAGAAGATAATGATAAAAACGTATATATACTTTTTAAAGTATTACAATTTACTACCAGAGGACAATGATAAATGTATTTTTAAAAGTTTTAAAGTTTATGGAATATGTCCCGAATCTTGAAATAGGTATGTTTTACACACAACAGAAAATAATTAAAATGGCAAACGTTACTGTCGCAGAAAAGTAGGGCTTTACAACCAGTTTCCTTTCATTTAGTAACATTTGCGGACTACGATCTGTTATCTGGTGGTTAGTGTCGTCCCGCAACACTTCATTCTACTTTTCTTCGGGAACGTCAGTCACTTTGACACATGCCCATATTGCCTTTGATTTTGATTGTCCGTACTAAATTTTGTCCCAACCCTACCATAATGAGCATATTTGTCGAAAAGTCACAGGGCAGGCAAGGATGTTAACTTCGTAGCTGTAATCTTTGTATACTGTGGTATAATCAAATCTGATATGATCATCTATAACAACGAATGCTGCAGATCTCCGGCTATAGAAAAAATAAAATATCTGGTGAAATTTATACAAAAACACAATCGGTATATTTTTCTAAATATAAGGCTTATATAATATCGATATATATATATATATATGCGTCTAAAAACAACAAACATGACATCTATATAATACGTTATATATACTGGTATATAAACAAAAGACACTGATTACATTAATAGTCCTTTCAAAAACATAATCTCGTATCCACATCCGTCCTTTGAATCCACTCATTTCGTGAAATGAAATGAAATGGGGTTTAACGTCCTACTGTTCTGCTCCGACTGGGCTAATGAAGACGGGCATACGCCATACATTGTACTATGAGGGAAATTTTGCCCGGGCAGCGGCAGTATGGCCTACTCTTATATCGAATTCCAACTGTCAAGGGATCTTTTACGTGCATGCCAATGCACACACCGGACCTCGGTTTTTTGTCCCATCCGAACGACTAGACAGCTGTCCTTGTCTGGCTCTCCGTCCTGCACCACTGACAAGGGGAAACCACGTCGGAAAATCCCGATGAACTTTCAGGTTTCTTAGATATTTTATGGAAATTTATTAGAAAACGCCATTCTGGTGAAATTTGGGGCATATTCCCAACTTGTGGTTTGTGATCAATTGCTAAAATGTCACTTTACGTATGTTTCGCGAAATGGATCCAGGCCGATATTTAGACTACTTAAACCCGTCTAGATCTGAATAATCCTTCATAAATCGGTGTGTCTTGATTATCATCTGCACTTTTTTTTTAGCGAAACTGTACGTTCTTCGTAAGTTTCTTCTATCATGATGTATATGCCCGTGCCCAGTACCCAGTCATATTACGATCCATTCGACGTGTTGTTCTTGTTGTTGGGGACAACACTCTACTAAAGGATATATAACGTTCCAAGTTTGTATCTGTGCATCATTGATGGACTCCCCAATTCCAAGATGGTGGCGACGGTGTCATGCTTGGTTCTTTTTCTTAAAGAGGGATATGGGACGTTTTGAAAAGGACTATAAACTACTAGCAGATAATATAATATAGATACTGTGTAAAGATGATTTAAAATATACACGTTTCGTGTCTGACTTGTGGGTCTTTAATTTATTAATATAGTAATTAGAGAAATATAATTAAATAAAGCATGTCGACATTTAACTATATAATAACACAACAGCAACTCTAATCTAAATCTCATAAAAATAGAAATATACACAGTATTCAATTCGAATTGAATAATTTGAGTTTGGGAGTTTGTTATCCCACTATAATATTCCGCGCGCTTCACTCCTAGTCAGAATATCAACACCGCACAAGCAAAGGCGAAATTGTTCATTTTCATCAGTCAGATTGGATGATTCGATTCTTTACCAATTCTCTGATTTTTACACGTCCTTGTTACTTCATATCCTTCCAATAAGCATTCCCATAAGTCCAATATTTCACCTTCAATGTAAACTTTGTCATACACAAAAAAAGTGTTTGTTTTAACTATATATTTCACTATGTATTGACACTCGAGTAATTTGATCAGTAATTATGTATATACAATTTACTAAACTTAACCAGTTTTTACCGTTTATAATAAATTATGTATAATCGCATTTTAAAGTACATTATCCCTTTTTTCATATTTCAGATTCCCTTTCACTAAGCGAATGCATCTTGATTTAAGTCTCTTGCATGAGCGTTGTTTCAAATATTGTGAATGCGGAGGCCATCATCGCAATTAAGTACAGAAAGAAAAACAAACGATCAAGCACCAGGGCAACGTTCTTCCACTCTCTGGCGGCTTTCTCTTTCGCTTCCTTATCCTGAGATTTGTCCACAATCACTTTAAGATAATCCTTAATGTCTTTAATCTCCTTTTCAAGATTAGAGATAGCGCGTGGCAAGGTGCTGAAGGGGCGCTCGAATGGATTCTCGGGATCAGTGTTGAGTACCTGAGGTGTTCCGTTCGTTAACACTCGCCACGATTCTTCAGTTTGCATTTCAAAGCACCCCACCCTGTCGTACTTAAACTCAGAATGTTTGTTCTTGTCTTTGTTGTTATAAGCGACAAAGGCATTTGTATTTTTTTCTAAATTTTCATCCACAAGTTGATTTCTCATACAAAAAACTCGAGCAAAGACTTCCATCATACACTGAAATCAAAACATATTTAATTAATTTTAGCGCTGGTCGTCATATTTTGGTTTCAGTGATATTTTCCGATTTGTTAACTGGGGGAGGTTTGTGGGGTGTGGGTGGGGGCACAATTTTAGCGCTGGGCATCGTATATAGTTTTTCTCTGCGCCACCATTTCAACAGTTTAAATCTAAACCCAAGGCAGCCCCAATTCGTCATTAACGATTGGTCTAATGAGACCACAGGTAATGTTCCCAAAATACAAACAAGGTGTCACAAAAGGTACTATAATATGCCTGTTAACATTATCCATTTAAACGCCAAATTATATAATATGAAAGGCACATTAACGATAATTGCTAAAAACTGCTAAGCGCAAGAGAGTTATTGAAATAATATTGACAATATGTTAGTCCCGAAATGACAAGGGAGATAACTCAACTTTAAAATATTGGTCGCGAGAGTTATCCACTCGTACAAAATGTTTCCGCCCTTGAGACGGAAATAATTTTATAGTAACCAGAAATTTACAAGAAATTTAATGCAGCTGCTTATTTTGTATTCGATGATGACATTGATAAATAAACGATAATTACGTTAGTATGTATGTTCAAAAAATTGGGATAAGTTCTACCCGTGTAGTAATCTCTAAAGGGGAACCAGAGTTCTTTATATAAAGTAGAAGTTAATAAATGACTTCTAGAATCGGCTATAAATTTGGCGACGGTATAAGTTTGTTGCCGAATAACGGCCATAATATGGTAGTCAAAGTTGCGATTACAGACACTAGATAAGAATTGTAATACTTGCTAAGGATTATTCTGGAGCTATTAAAAACAGAGAGAGAGACACACACACACAGCGAAAGACATGAGTTTAACGTCCACTCGGCATAAATTAGGTCATTTCGGGACTAACATATGGTGTGTTTTTGTTTGTTTTTTTCAATAATTCCTCGCGTGGGCGAGAAGAAAAGAATAATTATGAAACAAAGTAGCTGTGTCAAACAGTTTGAATTTGAAACAATGGATTCATTAATTAACTAATTTACCTTTGTAGCGAACGAAATGGCACAATTAAAATGTTATCCTCCCATTTCGTGTTGTGGAATAAAATGATAAGTAATTTGTTTTGTCGTGTTTCTAATCCCAAGAATACATTTTATAACAAATAAGTCCACAGAATATATTGTTACAATTCTTTAGCGGCATAAAACGTTTTGAATTATTATCAACTATTAAAATATTAAATTATAATCATACCACGGGAGAATATCTCTTTATTAATAGAAACTCTGCAGGACGGGAATTTAGGTACTATAAAAGTACGATTCTCCATTTGATTTGTATAGTACAAAAGCTTGAGAACGACAACGATCTTGGATTTGTTTTATCTCATTTATTCACCACACTTTTAATGTAACTAGGTCATTTCGGGACTAGCACATGGCGGTTCAATTTTATTTCAAAAGGGGGTCTTTAGCAGTGGGAGGAAACCTATGAAAATCAGACAGCACTATCATTGGTCATAACACAGTAATTCTGCTTTCGTGTTGCAATAACAAACAGATTGACCTGTCTGATTTAAAACTATATAAATTAACAAGAGTGAGACATGGGGTTTAAATGAAACCGACAATTTTATTTTTGACCCAGGTCAAAGAGGCAGGGTCGTTTTAATTCAAATAAATTGAACACAAATGTTACGATCTAATATAAATTTAAAGCTCTTATATTTTCATAAAACTCGGGCTACATCTTATAAAGTTAAAATATATATATTACAGAAAATGATCGGTTTCGATTAGACTTCAAGTAAACATAAAAGTTACACATAAAAGTGGTAAGCCCTTGAAGCCAGTTTGATTATATACATTACACACCAATTCCACAGAAATCTGAGTGAAATTGTTCGGTATATGCCGCAAAAATAACAACGCATAACAATTTTTCGATTACAGTTATATCCGAGGGGAGGAACGTGTGAGCTCATAGACAAAAAACTTGATTAATACTTACGGATTTAAAAATTCTTGGTACTCTAGTTCTAGAACCACGGAAATACATGTTAACAACGACTACGGACAACAGAGTAGACAGTGTTATCAAGATCATATTCAAGCAATAATATGCACCTGGAAAAAAAAGAAAATTATTAGTATACGTTCCTGTCTGAAGTCAGTTGTGAATATGTAATTGAAGTTGTTGGAAGACGAAAGACAATTAGCTGAGAGAGAGAGAGAGAGAGAGAGAGAGAGAGAGGGGGGGGGTGATAACATAATTCGCTTGCGCGTAGGGTCTTAAGCAGTGGGGAGAAACCAGAGCACCCGGAGAAAACCCACGAGGTTGGACAGGCAACCCTACTCCTTGTCACATTCAAGTGAGGAATCGAAACCACGTCTCTTGACTCAATGACAGACCTAGTGATAGCTGAAAGAACACATGATATGGAGCAAAGTGACTTCCTTCTACAGACTAATTCAATATGGCCGAGAATGGTATCAGTTGATTAGATTGGGCAATTTCAAAATCTTGACGCTCTTTTTTAGATAATATCATTGTCTAATATAGAATGCTAAAATGACATTTACTCAACGTAGTCAGTGTACAAAATGGTATAAGTATTTTAAAGCGTATAGCATGTACAGTTATCAGTCGACTAACATAGGTATTTATATAATGGGTTTATGTTCACGAGACGAAGAATCCTGTTTTTGACAATTTAAGTTTGTTTTTGTTTAATTTAAAAATGCTGGTGAACCATTCGATTGTCTTGTATGTATGTATGTATGTATGTATGCATGCATGCATGCATGCATGCATGCATGCATGCATGTATTTATGTATGTATGCGAAGAGGGTTGTTGATTTTCAACGTTTTCTAATCACATAAATGCAGAGTTATGAATATTTTGGACATTAAAAATTCTTGAGGTGAGGGCTCTCTATACTTGAACTTAAAATGCTTTCCAATGCCGCTGCCCTAGAAACCCCTTTCTTGTTTGCTCACGTTACCTATAAAAGAATCAGAATGTAGCTGCTAAGCATATAGCGCTCACAAGATAGTAAGGACGGGAACGGAAGGACCGACAAAAAAGAAACAGGGGTAATAACACTATACCGCCAATTTTTATATGGATGAATAAAAGGCATAAATGCTTAAGTAAGCCAAAAATGTGGTTCTTAAAATAAATTAGAATGCACGAAGAAATTAAAATAAAAGAAAGAATAACAGTTGCCCCGTTAAAAGCCACTTAAAGTTCAATTAACAAATCGATTTACTTATATATAAATATTCCAGAAATAACTGGTTTGTAAATACACCTTTGCTGAAGAATAATTACTTACTAACTGTACGTTTTCGTACCCAAACATTAACAACGCGCTAATCCCTTTCAACAGACTTTGCATAACGATTGGCAAAATAAATATGAATGACACTGTGTTATGTGTTATAAAGTTCCCTACAAAGTCGGTACATGATTTTAAAATAATAATTATCGAATTAATATTTCGAGTCATGTAGTTTTAACTCTCCAGGGATGTATTTATATTATTGGCAATATCCATGAATATTTATATATGTAGCTAGTGTAAGAACGGGATGCTTTAAAAATATATAGATGAGAGAGGAAAGATAATTAAAAAATGCTTTTAAAATATAATTCAAAATTTAATAATCAAATAAACGCAAATATATCATTAATCAAAAAATCCAACTTTCTATGCAGCTAGTGAACAGCACTTATATTAAACTAAAAACCAGAATTGGTATCTTCTTATCGATAATTAAGTAATTAATTTATATTTCCCTGATATAGAAGAACTACCCCTGGAAATTGTGCCAATTTGACAAAACTCGCGCGTCCGTACGTATAGAGACCCCGCTAAACTATTTTTCAGGAACTCACACGAATTAAGTACCAGACATTGATTTACGTCTACTTAAACCTACAGAGGTTGATAATATAAGATAAATGATTTACCAATTAAAGGTATGGAAGAAGCCGCAGGTGGCGTAGATTCAGCTAATAGTAATAACAGCACAAAAAACGCCACAAATATATTCATACCTGTTTACAAGAAATAAAAAAAATATGTACATAGAATACACGGTTAATATAAGACAGTTTGGGCGTTATTATTGGGTTTGAATGAATTTGTGTGTCGGTCAAAATCTTTTCCAAAATAAAAATCAGAGTGGTGGAACAATTAAAACTCAATATTTGAGCAACTATTTACTATGCCAATGGCAGTCATTTACAAATCGTTTAACTGTCTAATCTTCCTATTATGATATAATTGACACAATGCTCCCAAGTACTGGACTCCAAATAATACATAGTCTTGCGATAAAAGTTTATCACATCTTATCAGCAAAATGTGTTACAAATTCATTTGACAAAGACTAACCTATTTTAAACACGACTGTCTATTTAAATGACATGGAGTTGATCGATCACCTTACGTTTCTGGACCAACGGGGCTAGTAAAGATGGGTATACCCTACGCTGTGCCCTACCACCTACACGTATTTCAATTTCCAACTCTCTGGGAATATTTAACGTGCTGCCAAATATATATATATATATGAGACCTCGGTTTACGCCCTATCTGAAAAACTAGACGATTTTCTTTTCCAGGTCCCCTGTCCTGCACCATTGACAATGGGAAACAACTCTCGGTCAATACCGGAATCGATCTCAGGAACCCTGTTTAGTTATCCAGCGCTTTACTTATCGGGCCACCCTAAAGATTCATCTGTAAAATACTTACCAAGTTGCATTTTGGCGGGAGATTCAGGGGGAAGCCAAAAGAGTACCAATGTTAGAGATGAAAGCAGAAGACAAGGCAATATAAGAATATAACTATAGAAGGCAACTTTACGTTTGATTTTCAGAGTAAATGTCAGATCAACGTATGGTTCAGGACAACAGGGATAATATTTTGTAGTTTTCTTAGCACTGGACTCCTTTATTTCCCACTCATTACTATCGATATAATCCGTCATCTCAAATCCAGTCAGATTGTACATAAACAGTAAGTCCAACTTAGATCCATCGTAAGTCCAAGATCCGAACTTAAGTTTACAGGTTTGGACGTCAAAAGGAAAATGTCTGATATCAATTGAACAAGAACTTTTAAACACAGCTTGTGGTATCCACACCACAGTACCATCACTAGATAATACAGCCAAGGCTTCTCTTTTCTCTTCTAACCTGGTATCAGCGCTGTAATAAAAAAAATTGTTATAATATCATTAGATCCCCCATTACCAGTAAGCTATATAGGAGTTTGAACTGGTATTAAAGTAGCTAAGTTTCTTAACTCAATATCATCCAAAGCCATCGATATTGAAAACACGAATTATTTGTCAGTTTAAATCAACATTGATGTTGTGATCTTACCGGGAAAAGATGGTCTTCTGATATCCAATATTTAATACAAAATAAACATTTTACCATTGGTACACGTTAATGCGTTTCAGTGCCATTTGTAACAAGGGTCTCGAAGAACGAGGCTAGACATATTCCACAAGTCATGTCAAACGGTGACGCTATATTCATATCTACTACTACTACTACCTGGTGCTTTAACGTCTGCTTCCACAAAAGTGATATCGCAGATAGGAGAGCCGAAGCTTCTTCCTGTTTTTAGAATATTCTTATCTGGAGAGCAGGCGCAATAAATACTAACATAAATGATTTGAAATTAGAGTAAAAACATATACATTCATAGTACATTATTATATGCATTGAAACCCAATTGTGTCAATTTCTAGGTCCCAGATATTAGCAAATTAGCTCCTTTAATATATTTCTTAAAATGCCCGGAACAGCTGCTTGGACAGTCCTGGTGAGAACTGATATCAGAGTTTTCAATATCTGTATTATCTGGGGAATTGGTGAGATTGGGGTGTGTGGGGCGTGGGGTGTGGGGTGTGGGGCGTGGGGCGTGGGGGGTAATTATTGTCGTAGGCAGTTCACTCACATAGCATGACACAAAGATCTTGTGATACAAATAGTCCCTCTCCCCACCCCCACCCACCCTCACCGCCGCCTTTAAATAAAATAGATGAAAGGAGGCAAGGCATGGGAATTGAAAGAATCTGGTACTCAAGGCTCAAATTTTGTGCGACTGCTTCATGACCTTACATCGTCAGGTCTGAAAGCAGCTTATAAAAAAAACGTCTAAGACAACAAATATTCCATTTTCCGGTTAACGTGGACTGATCACATATCAGCGGAGGCTGTGTGCGATTATGTTCCTCTGATATGCGATCATTCCATGAGTCATAGAGATCTGGGAAAATGACATTTAATATCGATAATATATAAAGAATAAGAAAACCGAAAACAAAATCATTCTTTTGACATCGTATCAGGCAAAAATATCTGGAATCTGTTTAAATATTGTCAAGATAATATCTTTTCCTTTAAGGCATCATCTCGGAAGGTAACCGGAATTTTCTCAAATCTGACATTAACAATACCCTAAGAGGGCATCAGTACCTAACCTTATCTTTCTATTTTCAGTCTTAAATATCCAGAAACGGAGTATTATCTTCCAATTTTTATAAATTAAATCCAATTATAGGGTAATCAGTCGATCAAACAGAACTAGACAATGACACAATTAATCTTATTAATTTCAAAATTATACACCGAGTTTGTAGGAGGATTAGTTACTGACATTTGAGAAGATAAAATTGTTTTCCATATTTTAGATGTCCGCTGTTTAACTTCAAATCAGTACACTTAAGTTAAATAGATGTCTATATCCATCAACGAGTAATGTATTTGGTATCTAACGATATCGACAATTACAATATTAGAGGTTTTCGTTCCAAAATGAATCAAAGTAGGTCGAATCCGTACCGAATCGAATTATTTACAATGACTGCGTATACGATACACCACGAAAACAAACTCTAATGCTCCGTTGCGATCTGATTCGAACCAGAATGTTACGCACATCTTAGAAAAATTACCAGAAAGATGATTGTCTCATTCAGTACATATAATATAGAAAAGCTTATAGCTCAAGCTGTGGGAACGTTCTAAAACATGGGATTTCTACCAGGTGTTTTAGAAAGAGCACGCAGAACAATGGTTGTTTGGATTTGAGAAGCCACTTGGTACAAGTTATCCTTTTATTGACAGTTAGTGTCAATTAGTCAATCGCAAAATATTTACTCACTAATTATAAAGTTTAATATCTGGCATCCATATATCTTCTGTTGGTACTCTGATTGTATGAATACCACTGTAATTATCCGCATCCCACTTAAGATACATATCATTCCAGTTCTGAAATACAAATTGCTTTAAGCATAATTTGAAAAGTAATCCCTGTACTGTCCTAAATCATATAAATTAGGAACGAAAGGAGTCGGATTTAAATCTCTGAACACAAATATGGCATTGCAGGAGTACATGTATATTGTCGTACTTCTTTTTTAATGTCCCTTTTAGGTATAGTCATGTAGTTGATCCATTGATAGTGAATACAAACTGAAAAAACCTATAGTTTGTCATGAAAAGTTACGCCCACGTCTGCCCAAATTTCAAGTCAATCTCTTGAGTGTCAACAAGATTTTTCAAATTGTCCAAAGCCATAACCCAGGCAGTAATTATCAATAAAATATAGACATGTCTGACATAGAGTTCAACATGCCAAGTACTAGTTCAGTAATGTCTAAGTTTTTGTCAGATACAACCCAATTTTTTATTTCCTGGTCATTGGAATAGAAATCCAGAGCATCCACAAGATTTTGTAAGTAAGCAAGGGCCACAACTGTGGCAGTTATCGTTGAAAATCAATATGATTCTTCGTCACATACCGTAAACAATGTGCATAAATGTATATTCAATCGGACGATAACCAGGGTGCCCACCAACAATTGTGGACAGACCGACGGACGAGGTGACGACAATATGTACCCTGGAGAGAGTAAGAGTACGGTAATGTACTTTGATCATTCATCAACAGTCAATCAGTCACGGACAAAAACTCTGAAACTGCATCTATTTAAAATCCCTAGATATCTCTGACTATCGGTCAAGAACATTACTGTTGACAGAGAACATTAAAGTGAGGACGGACTGGGAACCGGGGAGACTATGATATACGACCACATTAACACGCGGGGGTATAAAACTGCAAAAATAGTTTTAATGTCGAGAAGGCGGGGGAGTCGGATACAATTCCATGTATTGTTGTTAATAATAGGAACATGCGGAGTATAAAACTGAAAAACTTGTTTCAGTTCCGAGAAGGCGGTGGAGGTGGGTACAGTGGCATGTATTATTAATGATTACATGTATTGTTAATGATTTGGTATTAATTTGCAGTTTTTTATATAGCTTAAACCTTAATTACATTACATGTACATTACTAAACCCATTCACTAATACAATAGTAGTGTTTTACTTATTTCATTTATCTTCTTGTCTTGGAAAATGTCAGGCCATATAGTGCTTCCATTCTAACGACTTTTTGCTCTCTCAGCAAATCACAAACTATACTACGTTGCGTAGTTACGATACAACCAAACTTACAGTGGTTTAATTTTCGGGATATTGATTTCAAAACAGGCTCCAAATATTCATAATAGCACTGTTTACCACGTTTTCTTAATGTGTTCAAGATTGCTCCACAAACTAGATGCCGATTTTTAGTACTGACCGCAATATACGACCCCTTAGGCGACATATAGTTTGGATGTAAAGAATAATTTCTATAAGTTTCGATGAATTCTGTTTAAAACGTCAATTCTTCTGCAAGCTATGCCGTATTCGTTAACGATATTCTTTAGACTGACTAAAAAAAAATTAGGGTATATTAAAATTTTCACAATAAATCTTCATATACAATTATGAATGGACTAACTGACTGAGTGACGACATTATTGTACTACTAGGTTAAAAGTCGCCCACATACCCGATGAACAAATCAGAAAATAATGTTTTCAGTATGAAAGAAGACGCGTTCTAATTAGTTACTTCAATAGTCAATGTTAATTCCATTTCTTTGCAAATTGTAGTTTGTTCAGAATTCAGAATGTTACTTTTTCCTGGCAGGTTCCATTTCAGAATGAAAGAAGACGCGTTCTAATTAGTTACTTCAATAGTCAATGTTAATTCCATTTCTTTGCAAATTGTAGTTTGTTCAGAATTCAGAATGTTACTTTTTCCTGGCAGGTTCCATTTCTTGCTGCAAATTAGTTCCGTTGAAAATGTCATGGTTTTTAAAATGTGTCTTGGTATTTTTCGTGATACAAACACTTTTTTCCTTTGTAGTTTAATTATCTGATAAAATAATTAACACTTCAAAGGAAAAAAAATCTAATTGATAAATTTAAAATCAATATAAAATAAAGCCAAAAATCCGTATGTCGAATTCTATGTATATTTTTTAAGAAATGCAAGGGGTCGTAAACCATATAGCCTGCTGTCAAAATTAATTATGTGAGCTCCTTAAATGAGAAATGGTATACATCAGGAATTTAGAAAGATAATTTACGCAGGAATTGGACGCGCGAACCACCAGAAGGGTAGGGTGACGACAATATAATACCACATTTCAATGTGGGTGTGTAAAAACAATGTCTGATTTCTAAGTAATAAATCTTTGACTCATAACTATCAAGATTATAAAATATTTCTACCACCTACACAAGGAAGTATATATTATTTTTTAAATGTGAAATTAACTGAAAATGAGATAAAATATAACATTTTAAAAGACCGATGTGTCGGGCTATTTTTTAGGATTAATGCGTTATTTTCAAATTATATACAATGGTTGATATTATTTATGTGTTGTAATGAATTCAATTTGTGTCAAAACGGTCGCTGGTATTTTGTTACATTATGGAAATTACATTCAGATGGATTTTTTCCCCTGCATTTATGGTAAGTTTGAATTTTTTCCGTCAATATTCAATTTCCTAGCTTAAAAGAAATGAAATGAAATAGGGTTTAACGTCCTACTGTTCTGCTCCTATACAGGGCTAATGAAGACGGGCATACGCCATACAGTGAGGGAAATTTTGCCCGGGCAGCGGCACTATCGCCTACTCTTATATCGAATTCCAACTGCCAAGGGATCTTTTACGTGCATTCCAATGAAAACACGGGACCTCGGTTTTCCGTCTCATCCGAAAGATAGCTTAAAAGAACAAAGGAAAGCTTGAAATTCGCGACCTAATCAATTAACCAGTACCAGATTTTGAAAAAAAAAGAATAAAGTGGGATAATTTTTTAATAAAAAAAAAGACTTGAGACATCAGTAACAAAGTATAGCATTGTTTTCCAAATGGTTCTTTAACATAAGACAAAAAAATACCAACAAAAATCATCTTAACCAATACTTGCTGACGCATTTCACTTGTTGTAATTGCTTTTTGAAGAAGTAAATTGGTCCTGTGTCACGTTCATGGAGAAATAATGGAAACTGTAACTTAATGGAACATGTGCACAAATGACAAATAAAAGGAATTTTCAGCACAACGAGAAACTTCTTAAATTGTTTAAAATCTTATGCGTGTTTGTTTGTTTTTCTAACTGCCAATTTCCCTTCTCTGTTCAACCTCTAACTCAATTATAAAAAAAATCGCATGTCTTAAAAAGATCGTTCTGACATTAAAACACAGAAATCAATGACTTTGAAACTTTTTGTCTACCTCTTCGTCGATCTAGTGGTTTCAATAATTACAAAATATATGGACATATGTTGCACAACACACTCAGTATAGAAGCCTTTCAATCAACCCAAGCAGTATTGTCTGGGCACATTGCCGTCTTGGGATTCAAATGGCTGTCTACAACGCGTACGTTTTCTGTCTGACGAGATGAGGCTATAAAATCAATCGCTGAAACGTCTATCTATATCTTACTTACAGCCTATTTCCATTGTATCACAAGAATCTAACATTTTAGATAAAATTACAAATTTGAGTTTGTTTTAAATTCAGACATGTTCTATTATTCTAATCTGAATAAATTACCCAAAGATTAAAGGGGAAAACCAACGATTTTCATCAAGATTTCCATAAATTTTAAACATATATTCCGAAAAAAAATCCCCGTTGTAACACAAGCAAAACCGTTCTTTTTTTAAAACCGGAAGTGATGTAATTGGTTCAACATGTTCGCTGGTTTCTATAGTAAGCATACAGATTTGGCGATATTTTGTTCACATATCGTCGTTTGACAGAAAATCTGAGAACGGTGACTGTTTATTGGGATATTATAAACATGAAATCATAAGTTGTTTATTTTTAAATTCACTCATACTGTTCAAAATCACTGGTCCTCCCCTTTAATGATTTTACACTTCAGTCAGACTTATTTTCTTTTGTTTTTTCACGCCACTAAAAAAAAAACTCATCATCAGATCTAACCAGCATAATATACAAATTGACATTTTAAAAATCCAGATTAATAGATAGTAGTTTTTACTGTGAAAAGGATCATTTACTACTTTTGCGTACACAAATCGTTATTGATGCACTCCGATGCAAAGTACACGATACCCTAATCAACTACTTATTTTTTTAAACTCGTGATCACCACAACTTGGTTCTTTGTATTCGCGTATATAACTGGTCCACCTTATCAACTAATGCACTAATAGGTTATACTTACATAAGTGGCCCAAACATTGGTAGATAAAACCTGGTTCCTCTCATCAAGATCTAGAATCTGGATTAAACTTAGCCCATAACTAATTACCAAGGTATCATTCTGTTGAGCTACAGGTCTCCCCATTTTCCCTCGTTCAGCATATTCCTCCAATAATGTCCTGATGAGCATCTTTTCACTGGACATGTTCACGGAACCTGTGAATATAAATAATAACAATAATACAGGTATCCTTACCTCGAACTTCCTACCTGAAATTTAATTAATCTCATTGAAATACATATAAAATAGGAACACCAATGACCCTTCAACTTTTCGTGGTGTTATTAAGGGGTATTTCAATGAAATTTACAATACTCGCTATTCATAGACCACAGAAAATGATCGAAGCTGCATTGTGATCTCGAATGTGTTAATCGGATTTCGTGAGATTAACCAACAGATAAAGCAACAGGTCTCTTCCTTCAACCCGACTGTTATGAAAAGACCGGATATTAATATTTAATTAACAAAAACCTAGAATTGCAATAATAAAACACACAGCAGCAGCAATGCAATAAATAAGATTGTCTATTTTATATGTAATTAATTGTAGTTTCCAAACACAAGTGAGTAAAGAAATATGGCATTCCACAGTTTTTCATTAAAATTCATGCACTGATAAACATCACATTTTTTCAAAATAAAAGCCAATATTGAAACCCGCGAAAGGTTCATTATTCCCAGAAAACTCACACTGTATCTTACATAAGATATAAGGTTAAACGGCTCTATTTATGGAAAGCGTGTGACACTGATATTGATATTTGGGTGTTGTTTAAATATTAAAAATGTATCATGTAAAATTTAGATAAAGAGCTGTCCGTTCTTGCTATATAACAGCTTAAAAAATGAATATATTGAAAATTCCATACACTATTCAATAATCACCAATTCATATTTGTAAATAATGACAAATATGACTTTGAAAACAAGCCGAAGGTTAATATACATAATCCGTTTCCCTATTTAGATCATACGTAGATAGGATGTCACTTGAAAGCTGTGATAAACCACCTGTGGGTGGTTACGATAGCAGACCTCAATTTGTTTTAACCATCCACATCTCTTTGACAGAATAATCTATTAAGACGATCTTTCTGTCCTGTCTTGTTAGAACATGTTTGTAGAGATAAGGTAAGAAATTTTACTGAAAAAAGTCAGTGATTTCGTTCTATGGTTAGACCGGACAATGTAGGATTTTGACCACAAACAGAGCTTTTACACCATGCGGAAATCATGTTATCCTGGTATTCAACTCAAGGTATGCAACGACTTTTGAAACTGGTGGGCTAATAATGCCATTACAATGTGATTTCGCAAGCATCTCCACGGGGCTTATAGTATGAGTTAACAACAATACTAGTCCACCATTATGAAGTTGTGTTAATCTATCATTCAGTCAATAATTCATTTAGGTGTTTTGTTTCTAAAACATATAAAATCAAACAAAATTGATTTCTATCTACGCCTGATAAATTCCATACACGTACCTTCAAACCTTTATAAGTATTCCAGTTTCTCGTTTTTTAAAACCATATTGGTCAAGACATGCAAGAATTGGTGTTGCGTTATATGCGAAATTAATAACTTTTCTATATGTTTAATTAATTAATCATAAGCTGTTGCAGCCACATTTTGTAATAAGACACCGTATTGTCAATTACAAAAAAAAGACGTCCATTACGGTATTGTGCTATTACGATTGAATTAAAACGGAAATTGCATTTTTCACATAGGGTTGGCATTTAATTAAATGAACACACCAATGGCTATATGATTTCAATAGAAATGATATTGATGAGCATTAAAGTGCCGTCATTGGCATCAACAACATTAAAGTAGTCTTCCCAGATCACAGGACACAGTAAAAAGTTGTGTCTAAGTATATAAAAAAAACACCAAAATGTGACGACTGTGACCATATACCTTGTCTGCTAATTTCAAACCAAAATACGGAACCGTTCGGAAATGATCGCTAGATTTGCTAACGGTTAACATAATTGTTCATAGGTAGGTGGCCGAGTGGCTTAACGTGTGCGCTTTACATCATAAGGTCTGTCAAGTATATGGTTTTGATTCCGGCCAAATACATGCTTAGGAATTAGATAGCGTGCCTAATCTGTTGTGTTTTCTAAGGATTTCCCTATTTGCCCCCCCCCCCTCCACACACACACACACCCAATTAAAGTTGTCCGACAACGAATTATAAATTTTATCCACGTAGATCAAGTCTTATTGAATTATGTTGGACAATAATTCTCTAGTGACAACACAAATAGATTGATCTAAACATGACAGGACTAGTGTATAACATGAGAATACAAACTCAAAATAACTTAGGTCACTGCGTTATATGGATATTCACTACAAAATTGTACCATCTATCTGTCCAAACTATCTGTTCAATCTCTCGTTTGTCACGCTGTTGGCTTCTGATTTTCATAGCGTAGCTAATGTTATGTGTTCCCTTTTCCTAAAGACAGGGCAGATCTTACAAATAATAATGTTTGTTTTTGATCCAGGAGAAAACCTATTACGCAAACTGAAATGAAGGAATGGACTAAAGCAGAATAATGCGACAATACACCCAAAATTGTTAGCTATGCGAACTCAAATTTAATGATATATCAAGTGTTGAAAAAAAGAGAAACATTAAGTGAAAATTCAATTATTATTGGAGGTTTTACTAGGGGGTGTTTTAGGGTTATATTTGCACAGCCCAGTGTCTATTTTGTTCTAATTCCAATCATTTAGTCGTCACCGTTGTGTATATTAAACGTGTGTGTCAAATAGCTTTATTTAACGTCCGCTTCCACCGACGCGATATCGCCTACAATTACAATTTTAGGTGATGAGTATTTACAAGTGATGAGTATTTCAAAAAGAGGAACACATGAAATTTGTCCTTGTACAGATGTCGTGAAAGACAATTATCATTTGCTAACAAAATGAGATCAACACTTTGAGATAATGTTGAAAAATATTTAGTGTCCTGAAGAAATTCCGATTTATTTTCCTTTTTGCACTGGCTTTCTTAGGTATCGGTTGTTCATTACATATTGTAAAGCGTCTGAATGTAATATGTGAGAGATGATCTTAAGTAAAGAGCAAACATACTGAAACATTTATAGAGAACTCATCACCTGACTACAGTGAAAATATTCCCTGTTGTATGTAGGAACAACGCGATAACATGATGAAAGAATTCTTCATTGCATTATACATAAGTTGCGACTAAGCAAGTCCCAGCTCACAGTGAACACATTTTGTATATATTTACTAGTACGTATAAATACATCTTTTAAGTGGTGAAATTGTACAGTAGTCAGAAAGCCAGACCTCTCAAACCAAACGGTTGCATGATAGATCCTCATTCTTATTATCGAATCCGCGTGTCACTTATAAGACAGTTTACTGAATTTTAATTGGGTACACGGTTGGACAGAGTAAGGTAAATATTATGTTGCAAAACTATGTGTCTTGCAGGGAAATAACCTCTCAAAGGAGGTAAGAACTCACAGAATGTTCTGTGACCTACGACCGGGGGTAATAAAATGTAAATCACAGAAAGAGTCCAAAAGCCGGAAGATAAAGATTAAAAAATACATTACTGTTAATATATTTGGGGCCCATATGGAAAAAATAACTATTCACGGTAGCTATGAAGCAAGTGCATGCTGACCAGCGTTTACCCATGAGCCCAAACGCCCGTCACTAACAAAATTATAATTTAGCATAATAGTGGGACAGCACCACTTTTCTTAGCAGCTGCCCAATTAATCTACTTCATTTAAATATGGAATGTAAGTTAGAAACATAACTACTCAACTCGGATTTGAGTTCGTGTCCCTGGAAACAACGTTTTAGCGAGACAATAATAAATATCTTACAGTAAAGAAGAATTTTTACCTAGGCCGATGACAATCTACACCAGTCAGCAATAAACATACGGAAAAGATATAGATACGGTTGCTTATAACCGTTTATCTGCTATTATGTGGAAAGCAACTTGCAGACATTGCATGACCTTTTCAATAATCTATATTTTTTAAAAATAATATATACATAGGGTATAATGCGTACCTAGTCCTCTTGAGCATACAACTGGAAGCTACATATCTATAAATTTTATATCAAACATATCGCTATTGACATTTCAAATACATAGTTTTCTTGTTTTCATACATACGTTAGTGACAAAAGGTCAACAGGACAAATATGACAAACTGAAGAATTTTAGTAATAAATGATCATACGTACAATCACCAGTCACGGCCTATCTGATCCTTTCAATCATGCCGAAGACATTAAGCAAGACTTTGGTAACATCAAGTTAGCATAAAGCATCGATCTCTCTCTAAACTTTATCAGTAACGATCATTTAACAGACCATCGGAAACTACTTTGTCGATGAGCAGTTTGATGGTCAGTAACTAGTTTGATGCCAATTTGTAATTTTGTCGATTTCATCATTTATTTGAGACTTTGATTATCACAACAAACATCCCAAATGATTAAATATATCTCGGTTCAAGGTCGGAAAGGCTCATTAATAACCCGGTTCCAATTACAGGCAGTATTGACTATTTTTCAAATCTAAAGAGTCCACCGGTACTTTATAAGTAGCGGTGAATTAATAGTGTCCATTCTTCAACTATATTATATTTCAATCCCGTATATATGAAAGACAATCACATTTAGTCATGGTATTATCTATCCCTTGTTCTAATAATAAGAACTGGGACATTAGATACGATAATAGAGTTTAAAACAAACTACAGGTAGTAAAAAAATTTTAGTGCTTTTATGTCCCCCAAGACGTCGCCATATTTTTCCTGCAAATGGAGCCACCGGTATGGCCGTTTACAGTAAATATTTATTTATTTTTGGTGGGATTATGGGGGGGGGGGATTAACGAAGCGTCCCTTTTAAAATATAATAAATAGTCCACGCAATTCATTTTAAAAACAGGGTTCTACTAAACTTTAACCAGTGTTATGCACACTTCATACGCGCATCGAATAACACTCAATGAGACATTTCATTGACTAATCCCCGACATGAAACAGAACGAGGTTTATTTCCAAAAATCTTTAAAATCACAGTGCAGGGTAAAACAAATGAACGGAAATTTGAAATATAAGAAAAGAAACGA